GGGGGGGGGGAGGGTTGGATTTGCTGTAAACTGTTTTAAATTGTCATTCTCCTTTTACTAAGTAATGAATTCATGACCAATAAAAATGGGCTTCAATTTGAAAATATAGCAGAATAGAACGTACAGAACAAAAAGTTGGCGATTGAAAAATGAAAAGTTAGTGGTCGTAATTTTGAAAAAAAGTGTGAGGCTATAGCCCTCCTTAATTAGCTACTTCCTCTCCCTAGTAACTGTTTAATCATCAAAAACGGGGAGAATATAACACTTAAAATCCATTTGCTAATCAAATCCTATACTGTTATGATATATCAAAACCCGCTATAAATGGAATCTTGTTTCGCATCAGTCCATCTGTTCAACTTTATTGTCCAAAAGCCTTTGAATAATTTTCCTGATATTGACCTCCCAGACGCAAAATAAAAAATCATATTCTGGTTAATTTTTACTCCATGTGAATCTTTTGGTAATTTAACCTTGAGTATCTGTCAAACAGACTAGCTATGAATACAGCATCCCACTGGTCTTTTCTTACTTTCTTCGTAATTTGAAATCTAATACTTAAAAGAAAATCAACCATATGGGGTAGTTAATTTCCAGGACTTCACGTTGGTCTACTTTATAAATGTTGATACAATTTTCATTAGGGATAAATCCTTTTATTGCTAATTGCCTAACTTCATTATCCTGTATATGCAGTGTGGGTTTAAACTGTTCACAAGACCAGYGGCATTTCTAACATTTACAGCTCTACATGTGGAAAGATGGTAAGGGACATTTTTTTGTAATCAATAAGCTGAAATACATTTTTGACTGGTTGTTGTTTTCTCACCGGTACTATCCATGTGGGATTTTCAAAATGGGGCTAGCTCCCAAACCATTTGATACACCCTTCTTTCCCACAGTTAGAAATATGTGAACAACTTTGAAGTAGATTCTATCATGGGAGATTGAAATAATAGGGTAAAATTATATTTTTTAGATAMACATTTTTCCATTGAAGAAACAAAAGAAATATTATAAACTACAATTCCCGCGGGGTCTTAATTTTGAATAGAGTGGATATCAATATTGCCCTGCTGCTTGAAGGCATTTTCCATTTGRGCAGACAGACTGGAATAGTATATTGCTTTCAAGATCTTTTCCTGTTCTATTCATGCCTCAATGAAGAGTTATCCATGAAATAATTTTCTACCCTTGACCTTTGTCTTGATACTGAGGGGCGTAGAGATCCATTTGTTATATCTTAAGACTAATTTATAGAGCTTTTATAGCTGCTCGTGTCTCTATCTACACCATTAGATATTATCACACAAGAGTGAGTCTAGACTGGGTGTTTGGTGAAATAGGATCTAGATATTTCCATGGTTAGTTTACCACACCATTAGGACCACGACTTGTTTTCGTTAATTGCACTTTTCAACTTTGTTGCCGACAGCACCAATATTCATCTACGTGTACACAATTATCAGGTAGCAGAAGGAGAACACAAGTTTTGGAATATGACCCAAAATTTCCTACTTCACAATAAAAAGGCATCTTTCAATGCGACTTTATTCATGACATATTGACTTCTTTTTGACTACACATTTTATCATTTCCATGGTGAGAAAGTATATTCCGGTATCCCATTGTTTTGCCGATAGCACCAATATTCACATGGATAAAAGACGATGCAGTATATCAGTCTAGGAACAGCGTGAAACTTCCCTACAATATAAAGCCTTTGTAGCTATAACGGTGGTGTATCCAGAATGATCTTAAGGAGGGCTCCTATGCTACATTCCTCTTAGGTTTTACAATACCTTCTTCTTTATTCTTCTCCAAAGGGGGGTGGCTAGCCACCCAACCTACCCCCCCTGGCTGGTTGAAGGAAGTTTCAACTTGTGAATTTTCAAAACAATTGCTTTATTATTCTTATAAGTTTTTGGTAAAAATGAAATAAATTTTCTTTGATGATCGTCATCTCCTGTTCTGTTTTCATAGTCCTCCACTCTTTTTTTGAGTGCATGGCTTTGAGAAAAAAAACATCTATGAATGATTTGATCAAGTTCATTCCAGTAATTTTATGCTTTTGTTGTGATGTTCACAGGGCATTTGATGTAGAACTTCTTTACATTGCTCAGCAACTTGGCATCCATATAGATGAAGTAGCTGTGAATTGGACAGAAATAGATGGTAGGAATCATGTGTATGTGATGATACTTCAATCCTTCCTCCTAGGAAGGGGGGAGGAAGATTGGAACTGAGGGGGGCCTGAGCAGTGTGCAAGAGTAGTATGGAGGGTCTAACGATTGTGATAGGGAGGTATGGGGCTTTCAGAGTGTGTGAGGCTAGTGTTGAGGGCCAGAGGAGCATACAAAGGGTAGTGCCGAGGGTAGATGGAGTGTTTAAGGGTAATGGACAGGAGATGAGGAGTGTGTGTGTGAGTAGGGGAAGGGTTTGGGGAGTGCTCAATGTAATTTCTATTCTTTATGGAACATTAGGTATAAGAACCATGGACCACCCCTATAAGTGTCTTCGAGGGGGCTTGGATTTGAAAAAATAGTAGACTAGAATGCATAAAGCATAAGTTGGAGGGCTGAGACTACAACATTTGAAGGATATTAGCAAGGATTGGCAAGGGCTAATGTAGGTTGGAGGGATCCAACAATGATACTACAGATACCAGAGTGAAGTCCCAGTTCTAGTGAGTCCTACTGGATATGCTACTTTCAATTGAGAAAGATCTTCTCTTGACCCGTCCCAACCATCTAAGAAGGAGTATAAATTGAATTGGTGTTGTTTTTTTTGTTTGTTTATATTTCCTTATTCATCATTCCCTATTGTGTTTCAAGAACTAAGAGTGGCTTATAGAATGATCTCAACTCGAACCCGCACCTCGGAAAAACCACAGTTTTTTAAAATTAATCAGTGTTTTTGTTAAATAAAAATGGTTAACAGTGGCATTTCCACAGAGTGGCTTTTCTTCCACTGAATTCCAATTGGAATTTAGCAGGGTTTTTTTGCGTTTTATACGTTGTACTGAGTATAGAAATAGGCCTTTTATGACCTAATTAAGCATAAAAAGCAAATGTGATTGTCTTGCCCTACCGCTGCCACACCCTATACTTCRTCAACTGTTTCCCTGTTAGACGAACCCTAAAAAATCAAGGCTCAAAATTGAGCATAAATAGTGAAGAGATCGCTATTGCTAAAACGTTACTAGATAATTTTAGAGGTTTGTAAGAAATATAGACAGGACTACACAGGACTTGTAACTAAAATATATGTTAAAATTGCTTGTCGTTGGGCTAAAAACTAATGCTGGACTCAAGAACACCAAAGCACTGCCAGTATTGAGCTCATATTTTCGATTTCTGTCACTCGGTGTCGTATTTGAGTAAATTTGCTTGTTGACTCTCCTCTCTCTCGTTCTCTGGTTTCCCGGTCTCCCTTCGCAAAAATCAACTTCTAAATTCCAATTGAAATCATGGAATGAGAGCCACAGGTTTGCTAGTTACTGACTATTAAGCGCCACCCTTGCAAAAACAAGGACTTATTTTTATTTTTGTATAACGTACCGAATGAAGTATTCATACCGAAATGTAACAAAAATTGTCGATAAAATTTCGTCTCTAAAACAGTAAAAATGTCAATTTAGTATCAGTTTCACTTACTGTTTCTTTTTCCACTGAATCCAAATGAAATTTAAATAAAATGGTTTTTACGGAGAGAGGAAAACCGGAGAAGCCGGAGAAAAACTCAGCAAAGCACAGGAGAGTACTAACAAATAACTCTACTCTCATACGACTTCGTCGGCGTAAGATGTCAAAAAAGAACTCAGTGTAAAAATTTTTTTTGAATCCTTGTGTTTTTTGTTCTTCACGTATAGAAATACATTTTAGTTTAAACTCCTCGTTTCCGTGTCGTTTTCCCTTTATGAAAAAAACCCGAAACAAACTAAAATTCGTAAACGGTAAACTGATATAGATAATAACCATCCCTTGACTCTCTTCTCAGTACAATTTTGAGGAATTCAATGTCATTTCGTTTCGAAGTCGTTTTCCCTTTATCACTTAATGACAAACACCCGAAACAAACTCACTTTCTTAAAAACGTACTATATGGACAATAGCCACTCTCTTCTCGGTACAATTATGAGCACCATATTCAACGTTTACCTAAGGGACTTCTAAATGTAATTTCTTCTATTTTTCTAAAGGTTCCAAAATGATTCCTTTCTGGAGTTGGCTTCAAATGGGCAAGGATTTGCTGCTAATTCGTCTTCGCTACGTCTTAAACGCTTGGAAAATCGACCCAGTTAAACTGAAAACCCAGTGAAGAGCAACCATCGTAACTCCATGAGCATCACTTCTCGACCAATTTGAGTGAAGTCAAAAACGAGAGAAAGGAAAGGAATTCAAAGTCAGTTTTCTAGTGAACTATGGATGGAATTGTCACTGACAAAAATTATTAGTATTATCTCTATAACTATTCTATTTGTTTAATAGTTTATTTGCATGTTTTTAACGCTGTTATTCAGCATAATCTCCGATGGAGGCTATAATTGTAAAAAAGAATGATATTTCAACGCGATGAATTCGATAAATAAACACGAATTTGACAACAACAAAAAAAGTAAAAATCGCACTTCAATGGTATATTTTTTTGTTTGTTTATTTATTTTTTGTGGACAAATTTTTGCCTTATGATTTTTGTTTCGATTATTGTTTTTAGTGTTGTTGCATTTTCGTTTCATAAAACTGTACTTTTTAGACGTATTTTTGTTTTTCATTCATTTTACGCCTCTCTAAGATGCCTGCGTTTATCCATGGATGATTCTTTTCTTTTTTTGCGTCCATGATTTTTTGACATACACATCAAAAATCAGTGAAAATTGTTTCTTTTTTTAAGAAGCATTATACGAGTTTTTATTCAGTGTGTTTGGTAAACATTTTTACTGAAGTTTTTTAAAACTTCACTTTAAAAAGGCATGATCATTTTCTTCTTCTGCGGACGGAGAAATGGAATGGAGAATGCTTCGGTCCCTTCTGTGTATCTAGACGCTTGTGTGAACGATAGACTTCATTGCTTCGATTTAGTGAAAAAAGACGGCTTTAAAATCACGGAGGTTGTACTAGTTTTATTAGACAGGTAACAGGGATGCGAGCATTGACACTTTAAATTCGTATTTTTGGTGAAAAACGAGAATGGAAGATTTTGAAGTACAAAACGCTATTTCGTGTAGTCGCAAATCCTGGTGATATAAAAGATGCTTGTGTGGATGAAAAATTCACTTGTTCAGCCCTATCTCTCATTCAAAAACAGCAAACACACCAGGGCTTGAAAATAACACTCATTTCGGCATGACAGTAAAAATAATTTTGAAATTGGTGCTGATGCTACACGTTTTCAGGTTCAGTTTTATAGATTAAACGAGAAACGATGACATGAAGAAGAGAATTGAAGTGTGAACGTAATTCAATTTTCACAAAGCTGTGGTGTTTGCTTTGCTTTGCACACGCATAATTGTTTGTAGACGGGGACTCGATATAGGAAAGGCGGTCTTGGGGTATTTTTTTAGTAAAATTGCTTTCAACTTATAGATCCACTGGGCATGACATGAGATACAATAGAGTGTCTAGTTTTTATAATGGCTATCTGTATTGGAAGTACATGACTTAGTACACAGAAGTAAATAGCATGCAAATGACAACATTATTGATGAACCGACAGGATTAATCAGCTTTGGGGAAAGTGGGCGAACTTAGGAAGCAGAAATAGGACAGTGAAATCTCGTGATCCGAAAAACAGTAGCAGATTTTCAGTTTTTTTTACGGGAAAATGAGTGGACTACATCATATGAATAAAACCTAGGTTGACGCAGTCAGACGTACATCTTAAACACAGGAATTCCTATTTCTTGTTCATTACGAAATTCCAAGATATTTTCATTGTGACTTTATAATAGTCCATGCCTGCTGATGCAACTGATAAAAAAATTTAGCAGCATTAAAAAGTTTCACGCTGTTTTAGCTTACCTCATATTTAATTTTGTCATCGTGTTCTTGGACAATACAGTTCTATAAGAAGATGTGTAATAGGTAAATTACGAGCCTTGTACGAAACGACTGAAGAAGAGGACCAATGGGCCTTTCACAACTTCAAGTCGCGTAAAAAATGAGCCAGATCAACTATGAACCGTAGAAAGCAGTTCTAGTGTACTTACTACATTCTGTCAGTAAGCATCCATCTAGGCACACTTTGTCATTAGTTAGGACGAAACGAATAAGAGTGGTCCTTAATACCATCACGCTAGTCTCACTGATACAACGTACAGAAGCATGCATAAGACTGTCAAAAAAGATCTTATCACCGACCTGAACCCCTCTTTTTCACGTGGTTGGCGCCAGTTTGTTTATCTCTTCTGTTGAAATGGGTTTTATCTGTGTTTGCTATAAATTATCGCATCATTCGACCACAAAAACGTACTTTTATATACAGAAATATAAAGCGTGTAGCTCATTATACGTTCGTTGCATTATACGCACTTTTTGTTGTGGAAAGCAAATGGCGGTCTTTCACTCCCATCCGCAATAGCGACCATTTTAGTTATATCAGTGAACAAACAAATTATTTTACACAGTTTTCATGAAAATGGTATTGGAAGCTGCAAGGTGAATTTACTTGCAGTTTCCAACGGACTTTACAACAAACCAATTTGTAGATGTAAGTTGTGGTCAATGTAGTGTAGAAGTGAAGGGACGGAGGGCGCCACATTTACTGATTTCATTGATAACAACACATTGCATTTATCTAGCAAAGACACTAGTCTCCTTGGAAATCATACACAAGCGCTAAGATCGACCTTTTCTTATCGGCTCAGAAGACCAAACATCACTGAATGAAAAAAAGAGATGCAAATGGTCGGAAAAAGGTCGATTTCATTTAAGAATGCATCCAATTTTCCTGATATTTAGTGTAACGAAAAACAATGAAAAAATCTTTGTATTTCACTCTTTTCTTTTCCCTATTCCGGCGTCTTCGACCATTTTAAAATATGTCAGTCAACTGAAATATTAGTTGACTATAGTTTTAGGCCCAAGAACTCGTCGAAAAAGCTACGATTATACTAACGATCTAGAGTTAGATTTAAAAGAAAAGGAACGCCACGCCCAGCACCACATAAACAACGATAAGACATGGCTTAGCCTATATGACTTTTCGACTTTCAAATCGTTTCATTCCAGAGACTTTCTGAGTTTCTAAATTATTGCAATGACCTAAATTACCATGATAGTAAAAGGTTTAAATTCGTGGGGTTATTTTACCAGCGAAACTGAAAACACATTAAAAAATTGCAGCATTTTGAAAAAATTGTGCACGACTCTTTAAGGCAGTCCACCAAAAGGAACAAGAAGGAGAAGGAATAGTTGAAAGCCTTATTTAAAAAATTAGTTTGCCTTGTGAGCTGGCCCTGAACTTTAAATGGCTGTTCAGTACAAAAGTAGAACGTACAAAGTAGAAATTCCAGATTTCTAAAAATGAAAATTTTGCTATTATTAAGGAAGAACCAGTCCTAATCTGTTTGAATATACTATGTATGTTATGGGAAAAGCGTTTATTTTTTATTTTTTACTGATTCCATTATTTAGACAGTATTTCACCACTAATAAAAAAAACTAATTCAATTTAAGTTCGATAATAATCATTTCCAAATCTATGTTCTTGTCACATCTTTTGGCATGGGTTTATTATAACTAATATTCACTTAGGGCTGGACTGAAATCCTAGAAAAATAATCCACTTTTCTACTTTTGCATAAATGTCTTTGTCTGGGATATTAATGAAGTACAGGTTACAGACAAGAAAAGAACGCATTGTTTACAGCGGGAAGTATTAGCTAGAGAGAAATGGCTATTTCAATTTTGTTTAGTACGAACGTCTCGCAAACACCCAGGGAGTCCGAAAATGGGTTATTGTGCGAGGAAATACAACTACCGGAAATGATTTTCCTTTTATATTTCTCTCCTCTTTTTGCCATAATTCGCTTTGGTTTTTCAGGCGTTCTTTTTTTACAAATTACAAATACAAACACTTTGATAATTAGGATTAACTCTCGTGAATAGCTATTTTTTTTACTGATTCAACGAGAAGAGAGAAGCGTGTATAGTGTAATCTAGCTATCTTTTTAAATGCTTTTCAGACTTCTAAAAGAACATACTGATAGTTTAGGCCGATTTGTCCAGCCCACACACCAAAGTGAAACGACACAGCTAACTCAAAAGTATCTTTTGAATTTCTCTTAATTAAAAAAACTTTATATCCCATAATGTAAAGAATTGGTCAAATGTCTTTCGACGACAAAACTCGAAGCCACGGAATGGCCAACGCTGAAGTTTCGTTCCAGCTTTCATTCCTCATACAGTCTGAATCTCTTGCCGTTATGCTGAAGTTAATCACACAGAAATGCTAATTGTTCTTGTGTAGTCACGTTTCCTATCAAAAGGAAATGGTTTTTGACAGATATAACCCTAAAGGGGAAACGAAATCGAGAAAGTCAAGAAAGAGGAAAACTTGGAAAGTGTGCCTATCATCAAGCTCGTTGAAAATGTTCGATCCTTCTGGCGTTATTGCAACCTGACCAAAATATTGCACATCAACGCTATCGACATTCAATCTATTACAAAGTAAACAAAGTTAAATTTCGATAAATTTCTATTATTATACGCATAAATTGAATATTCTGATTTTTTCGTTTCAGTATTTCTAGACAAAACAGACGAATTCAAAAGTTTTTTATTTTGCCACTAGAGAAATGGCGTGATCCGTTGCCGCTAGAAATGAAATAAACAGCCGTGGTTCGCAATTTTCTTCGAAGTAGTAGCGGACTCGACTATGTCTTTAGTTCCAATCGATAGCCCGTAATCCCTCCCTTCTCGGAGGGGCCCACTGAGCGGTTTGAACTTTGGCCGCCAGCCATTGGACGAGCTGTCAGCCCCTCAGACTCTTCGTCGCCGGCCATGTGACGTCACACGCTTCAAAACTCAGCCATCACAGAAAGCTGAAAGGCTTGCTTCCCTAACAGAGCTGAAGGCTTCGTAAATTCGACCTTATTTTCGCCAGATATTCAGCTGGTTTTGATTGCTGGAATAGCTGCAGTGTCGAAGAAGCGTTTCGGCTTGCCTGAGAGACATCTTGTGGTATTTTGTTTATTTAAACGTGCTCACAGCCAGTTTGGCGCCAGAGGACTCTTTTGCTTAGATTGTTCGACCCATATTCGCATTGAACAGCTTGAATTTCTGACGTTACAAGAACAAGAATCTATTCTCTTTCATTTATTAAAGCAGTTATAGAATAACTGTGGTTTGAGACGAACTAGAAGCAGAGAAAGTGAATCCATTATGGCTACTATGGCTTCGCTATTTTCTTTCACGCCACCCGCGGTCAAGCGTCTTTTAGGTTGGAAACAAGGAGACGAAGAGGAAAAGTGGGCTGAAAAAGCTATCGAATCTTTAGTTAAGAAGCTAAAAAAGAAGAAGGGTGCCTTGGAAGATCTGGAAAAGGCACTTTCAAACCCTAATCAGCCTTCTAAATGTGTGACGATAGCACGTAGCTTGGACGGTCGACTTCAGGTATCGCATCGCAAAGGCCTTCCGCACGTCATCTACTGCCGTGTTTGGCGGTGGCCTGATTTACAGAGCCATCACGAACTTAAACCTCTAGAGTGCTGTGAATACGCTTTTGGATTAAAACAGAAAGAAGTATGCATAAATCCATACCACTACCGGCGCGTCGAAAGTCCAGGTATGTTTGGCTTGGCATTATTATACGCTCACTCTCACCTACTATCGCTCACTCACGCTTTTGGTATCAATAAATACCTCTGATTGCTTAGTACATTATAAGTGTAAATTGAGACCCATCATTCTAAACTTGTATTTTCTCTAGTTCTTCCACCAGTTTTGGTGCCTCGACAAAGCGAATATCCAAGACCTCCTCCTCCTCTTCCACCTCCATTCCGTGCGGCAGAAGACCCTCCGATGCCATACAATGCTTCCTTTCCTTTCGTGAATCGACCAAGACCAAGCACTGCTGAGCAATCTCCTCAAAATTCTTTTGAAATATCAGGTAAAAAAAACACCGATATTAAAACAAACAACTGCAGAACCAMCAAATCTCCAACAAATTTCTTACTTAAAAATCTTTCTTTTGAGGTCATGAATTTGGGAATCAAAAAAAAAAAAATTAAAGTTAAAGTTTTTTATTTCAGTTTTTTATAGTCTCCTTGCAAGTCCATGATTTCAGTCTTTGAGAACTTTGTGACTTCCGAGCATAATTTTCACGCGTCTTTAGAATCGATATTTATTCTAAGACGTTCCTTACAGGATTGAATTCCTTTGCAATAAGATGAATGTCTACTTAGACCGGAAACCAGTTGAATAATAGTAAATCTGACTTGATGAAAACAAACTTTCCCTCTGGAATATTTCAAATTTTTTCTGTCCTTTCTAACTATTCAAGACTTTCCAGTAGTCCTTGTGAGATGAGATTTTTCTTTATAACTTGAGGAAAACATAATTTCAATTTCAAGGAGATCAAAAGTAGTCCTCATAATGTTAATTTAACTCGTAGGACCAAATATAATACTGAGTAGTTTTGCATTCGATATGGCTTAAGAGTTACCTACAGCTATAAATGGCTTGACATTGGTTTACTGTCATTGACATGTACATGCATGTTGATGGGATGTGAGCTAATGTTTTAGTCACTTTTCAAATACTTTTATGCTTTGTTGTTTGGTTGGGTGTGTCCTTGGGGTGCATAGATTATATTCTCCAATCCAGGAAATCAGACGAAATACCAATATATTCATGCTGACGAATAAAAACACAGTTTCAATACACCTCTTAAGGAAAAATCAGGTTTTCACCCAATCTTTGATCACTTAACACTTTTTCTTATCAGTTCAGTCCATTTATTTTGGGCTAATACAATAATGTTTCGTTGTTTCCAAAATGGTGTTCATTCATACCAATGATTGTCTAAATATATCAAAAGTGTACTATTCTGTGTATAGCATTAACTCTTTGTTTCCTGGAGAACTTTTTAAAGAGATCAAGATCTTGTCTTGGGGGTTCAAAATAGAAAAAAATGTAGGCTGCCATTTTTTTGACAGGCAAAACAATGTTTGCCTGCCATTTGAAAGTTCATCATTATTTTTGCCTGCCAAATGTGAATTTTAGCCAGCAATTTGGTCATTGACAGGCCATTATTTTGAATCCTGTGTCTGCATTGATGTTGACTTGTGGTACATGTAGTCAGCAGTTGGAAATAGTATCATCATTATTGTAGAAACAAACAAGTTGGCATTTGAAATCCTAGTACAAAAAATGATAACTTATTAGAAATCTCATCTTTATAGTTACAAAGGATTTTGGAATTGCAGCTATAGAAAAAATGCTTTTTTTTTTGGAATTTGTAAGCAAACTATTTTGATGTCAAGGTTGTGGTATAAGAACATTTTACATATTTTACTATACTTAGTATAGGATATAGGAACTACAAGATGTATATTTTACTACATCTTTGCTTGAAGATTCTTTTYGTATTCAAAATGTAAATCCTTCACAGAGTTCACCAGTGGTGTCTATCATTTTCCATAGCTATTCATGTCTTCTCTATCCTTTTTCAACCAACTTGTTGTCAAAATAAAACACCTAAGACATTGCCTAAAGGCATAACAGGTGACAGGCAAACACTTAAAACCTTTGTCTTTCGAGAGTGCCTTCGAGTCAGTCCAAAGTTTTGTCTTAGAGGGCTAATTGAATTGATATATGTGTTGATTCCAATGAAAGACCTCTACAAGTGATACAAAGAAAAGAAAGGAGTTTCTGTGTCTTCTATTTTAAAGTCTACTGTTGTAGCATCATAAAACATTTTTATGAAGAACCATAATTATATTTTCTTTTAACACGTTTTACCTAATTTTACAATTTTGGAAGATCAAAAGAACAAACAAGAATTACTAATTAATTTCCTCTTATTTTTGCGCTCTTTCAGAATATTTATCCAACTTCCCATATTTTGTTTCAATGTATTTTTTATTGCTATATGAATGTTTCTAACATATCAGAGGTGAATCATTAAATAAAGTTGTGTTTGGTTTACAGAGTCGGGTACAGGATATATGTCAGAAGATGGAGGCTCGCCTAGACCAGACACCATGGACGTGGATTCTCCTACTCTTCCAATGAATCCCTCAGCAGGTAATAAAATAATCTAGACTCATTCATGTTAGCTCATGCCTTGATTCACCATCAGRAGATGACAAAATTATTATCATTCAAATGAAAATGAAAAACTTTTCAAGCATTTAAAAAGGTCATCATTTCTTTGAAAATTAAGAATACTTTTTCAATGGATTTCTACTTCATTTTTCCATCATATTTATCTTCACTTCTAATTCAACTCAAATTAATTTTAGTTTTTTTTTTACTCCATGGGGTTTCCATCCCTAAATTCACTTCCTAAAAAGGAGTAGTGTTAATTAACAGGACAGAAAGTGAGCTTGGTCRTTGTCTCAGTTTCAGTAAGAGCAAAAACTGATCCATGAGTTAAAATTACAAAGGAATATTTTTTGTATAATGGCATAAAGGTTCAAAAATATACTCCATATAACCAACTGCTTTTTATCTCAAATACACTATCTCTAGCCTAATCATTATAATCTACAACATATATCTTACAATGAAATAAGACCAATTCTTATTCATTTTCCTTCAATATTTTTTTCGAAGGGCCAAAAACTTCAAGCTCTCAAGTATTGCTGTAGAAATATTTTCCATTTTAATGTTTTATTTTATTTTAAAGGAAATATTTACAGCTTTGAATCTAGATTCTAAGCTAAAATCTTTCGAGGAGCTATCTAACACACTTTTAGCTCACAGTAATTAACATCAAAACTCTAAATTGTCGAACCATTAGATTTTAATAATTACTAGCTCCAGAGTATTTCATACTTCTCAAACATAGTATTATTACATAGTACAATTATTAAGAAAAATTTTTTTCGATAATATTTTTAATTAGCACTGTGTAAAACAGAAAAAAATGAATTATATCCAGCCCCCAATCTATTCAAAGACAACACAAGATTGAGTCAAAGAGAAAGAGAAAATCTTAGGATTTGATAGAAACTTTCCTTCCCCTCAGAACATAGATATTTTTTGAAAAAATATATATATGATTGCCAAAGAAATTGTAATTCCTACATCGAAGATTCCTTTTTATGTTGTTTTAACTTAAAAGTTTAAAGCAAAAGAATGAACTAGCTCCTATGTCAAAGATTCCTTTTTGAATATGACTTATCTCAAAAGTTTGAAGACTAAATGAAGGTTTGTCAGGTTGTTATTAGGATTAATCTTCATGACAGATAAGGCTTAGTGTTATTTAATCTACTCATTGATATACAACTAACAAGACAGAAAGTAATGGATAATTATTACTGTGGTTTTCCTTGAAGACAAAGAGACTACCTTACAGGAAACACAAATAGAAATGATGATTGAGATAAGAATCATGCCAAAAAGTCATTAAAATCATAATTTCCCAGGGTTTTCACTCGTGAATTGCTCTTATATTACTAGTCTAACTTTTAATAATTTTCAATTTCAGTGTGGCTTTAGAATTTTTTTATTTTATTTTAGTAATTTTATTGTGGTGTCTATGCTGATAACCAGAGGATTAAAATATACGCTAGACTAATTTCTCCTCAAAGGATGTCTGTTCCACTAATACATTTCTACGTGTTAATTATACCAAATGTATTTCATATTGGACACTTAAGTAATATCTATAGATCATTTACCCTGTGGCCTGTGTACAATTTAATGCACTTTTTATCTTGTAAAACAACATATGTTTCACAGTATTGGTTATCATCTGTTACACATACAGTAAACCAGTTTGTTCATTATCTTTTAATACTTTTTTTCTAATTTGAATCTTTCATACTTTGTTTCATTGAAAAAAACACTGAAGTTTTAGAAATCTGCTGTTTAAACACAGCAACTGGAAAACAAGTCAATTTACCCAAACTAGTACTACCCATGGATTAAATTACGAATGTCTCAATAAATTATGTCCCAGTCTAGACAGCCAACAAATTATTGAATCACACTTTTTGAAATAAGGTCTCCATAAATCATTATTTTAAAGCTCAAAAAAAAAAAAACCCTGAAGAACTAATAGCTGCACTTGTTAAGTAAATTCACAGCTGGTCAACGGCAATCTTGCTATTTCTTATCAATCAACATTCTCATTAAGGATAAAGTTCATATCAAGGAATTATATAAAATTTTTGAGACATGTAAATGTAGCTCAGTTGTCTACAAATTTATTATTCATTATTTTATTTAATATAAATTGCTGTCAGACCAGCACTAAAAATAAGTATTGCTTTCAAATTACTTTGCTGAGCCACTTATTATTTTGGCTGTATTGGCTTTGGGAAGTAAAATAAAAAATTGTAATACATAAGTATTAAGATTATAACTTCTAAAAAGCTAAAAGCTCCCTCTTCTTTGCATGGGATGTGGGGGAATTAACCAGCCCATCTGTTTTATGGCCAATTCAACTGAATTATTACTAGAACAAAGGATTATTCCCCTTCAGAGATTTGATGGCTAATAGCTTAGTAGCAGTCAATATTGATAAGGCTGAATTTTTTTACGGGGGGAGGGAGGTGCAGGGGAATGTTTAATGATGTATATTTTTCCTGGTTACTGGTAAATACAAGGCTAATAAGAGCTTTAGGAAAAACATGAAAACCAAAACATTTTTAGCTTCAGCTCATCATCATTTGCTACTGTTTTATTCCAAAAAAAACTGGATTCTCTTTCTTGAATTTTTCAGCAGATGTTATGTCCCATGTTACAGCCGTCAATTACCAAGAACCTCTCTCCTGGTGCTCTATTGCCTATTATGAGCTGAATAACAGAGTTGGTGAACTTTTTCATGCTAAAAGCACAAGCTTAATAGTAGACGGCTTCACAGACCCAAACACCTCTAACTCTGAAAGATTCTGCTTAGGGTTATTATCAAATGTAAACAGAAATTCCACAATAGAGAACACAAGAAGACACATTGGAAAAGGTGTGCATCTATACTACGTTGGAGGAGAGGTGTACGCAGAATGCCTGAGTGACTCGGCAATTTTTGTTCAAAGTAGAAATTGTAACCACAGTCATGGATTCCACCCAACTACAGTTTGTAAAATACCCAGTGGGTGCACACTGAAAATATTCAACAACCAAGAATTCGCACAACTTCTGTCACAGTCTGTCAATTACGGGTTTGAAGCCGTGTATGAGCTTACAAAAATGTGCTCAATTAGAATGAGCTTTGTCAAGGGCTGGGGTGCAGAATACCATCGACAAGATGTTACAAGTACTCCATGTTGGATTGAAGTTCACTTGCATGGCCCTCTGCAGTGGCTTGATAAGGTTCTAAGCCAAATGGGCTCACCACGAAATCCCATCTCATCTGTCTCTTAAAAAGACATTTCAAATATATACCACTTTTATTGTAGTTAGTCGTTACTCATTTTTCTCGTTATTTGTGTTCAATATTTTCTTTTATGGAACTGAGTATGATATCTGAACCATACTTGTTAGGTTAAGCGAAGAATTGGTGAAAAATTCTCACCATGAATTGCATTAATTGGTTTCCATCTCATCATAAATATTGCATAGTATTTTGCCGGTCTAATTTTTATAAGATATGTACTGCCATACTGTAAATGTTAATCCTGTTATACCTTGAAAAGATGTTATATTGAGAGATCAACGTTGGTGTGATGTCACTTCTGCATAGTGCATATAGATAACAAAACCTTATAAGGTATTTTTATTTACAAACATTTTGTTAGTACATAGTTAGCAATAATTGTACCTGTATGTAAGAAGAACTAGTTTTGTAGATTTTCATGCAATGGCCAATAAGGCAAACTTTAAGAAGGTAATCTCATTAACTCAAACCAGTCAAACATGCCATCCCCTTCCCCCCCCCCCCCCCAAAAAAAGAAAGCATTAAAAATTAGGCCCAAAATTGTAAATAACCTGCACAACCCTTGAGAAAGGAAAGAGCTTGGAATAGGCCCATTGTATTGCCATATACTACCAATACAGTAATCCCTTTCATATACACTTTGTCATGTATGAATGATTAGCAGTACCAACGGTCAAATGAGGTGGCCAAAACTTGGTGGTAAAATGCTAACAGCCTATTGATCATTACATGATAATTTTAAGGTGGACATGCGTTGTTGAGTTTTGTTCCTGTTGAGTTCTTAATATAATGCTTTATTTAACTGTTTGAAGTAGTCTTGATAAATATGGAAGAGTGCTTTAAATTTAAGTGATTTAAAAAAATAATATTTTGGGTTTATTTTGGGCAAGGTAAATTTCGTTTTAAAGCCATACTTGGGCTCACTCTACCTGGAGTGAATACTGATTGGCAAAAACAAGGTGTTAATGTTGTATCAGCTTCACAATTAAGTTATTTACAAATTTGATAACATGTTACTTCCATTTGACAAGGTTTACTTCTAGCAGTAGTAATTACCATCGTTGTGTGCCTAACAAATAATGGCAAAAAAATTCTTATGTTGAAATTGCAAATACAAAAGCATTGACTAGCTTCGCTTAGTTTGACTGATTGATTGCCATCAAGATTTAATTGTGAAATTGAGGCTTACATAGTTTTTTTGCATGAAGGTAGGGTGATCCTACTGTTGGAATTCTTTCTACTTTGTGGAACACAAGTGGAAGGGCCACTAGCCCTACCCCAACACCAGAGGGCCACAGGGCAGATTAGACCCACCCTATGTCTTTATGTAAATGGCCAATAGACCCTTTTAATAATTCCCAAAATGCCTTACTTTCTGGATTTTATGTCAAATTTATTCTTTTGAAATGTCGTTTTTAAATGAAATTAAAAAGAATGAATATGACGTTGCACACTTGATGCCAGTTGCCATAGAGATAGAGAAGACATGAATGTGAAATGGGATGAAGTGTTATAAACAAGAAAAATAAAAACACATGCAGTGCCATCACATTATGCATGTAATCAGAGTGAATTTGGTATGTGAGTTTGAAGGTGCCGTGTATGGGCTTTTGATTAGCCATAGGCCATAGGATGTTGTCCATTCCATATATAATGTGATGATTCAACTTTCAATGTCATGATATTTGCTCTAGCTCCATTCCTGACTAATAAGGAAAAACACACTCTTATTGTATAGATCAATATCATGCTGTGGTAGGGTATGACATTTCATCTTGTGATTTTCTGACGCACTTCAATGATGATAATAGCCAAGTCTATAAATGTTTCCTTTGTACATATCTAGAGTGCAGCTACACAGAACAAAAGCAATTATATTTTAGTAGAATGCAACCCATGAATATATCAATACATTGTTCTGTACCTTGATACATTAACCATTACTAATAAATTTTAAATTATGTATGATATTTCATTTGTGTATATTTCAAAAAAACATTTTTAAAGCATTCTACCTTGGATTCCTGGATAAAATGGGCTTCCTGTGGTAAAAATGTGACTGGGATTCCTTTGCCCACAAAATTTACCCCTGAGACCCCCCCTTCAAAAAATTCTGGATCCGCCCTTGGTCACCAGATAGGATCTTTTAATCAAATCAGCTTTAAGGTGACTGCCTACTTTTGGAAATTGATTTAAGCTTTTTTTAAAACTTCGATTTTCCGAATTGAAATTTAATGCTGATTCCAAATCTGGAAAGAAAAATAGGGTGTCCCGAGCTCGTTTTCGAGATAATCAGCATTTAATGGAAGCCTACGCACGAGCTTTTGGAGTAAAAATTGCGCCACTAGAAGTGATTAGAAAAAAATTAAGATGAATAAGATAATAGTTATTTGCAGACTATATGATTGCATAAATGAAGGCTAGTCAATCATTCTACAATAATACATGGATATTTTCGACAAAAAGACAGAGAGATACATTGATTTGTCATATTTTGTAGTTTCGGTGCTCTTAGAAAATCTCATAAAGTCGAACAAAAATCCCTACAAAAATCTATTTTTTCACGTGTTCCTGATTTAAACTTTTCCTAAAATGTTGATATAACCTAGATTTTTAGGAGTTTCTTCGAATGAGCTATCAAAAAATATAGAGTCCCGTGCAAAATGTGAGGGTTTTGCCCTGTTGAAGCTCAAAACGCGTATGGTTCTTCAATAAAATCTTGTAGATTTTTCAGCGGTTTTTGAGCGCGCGCTCATCGTGGGCTCAATTCGAACGTTCAGCCACCTTAAACAGCCACAGGGGTGGGTAGTAGGGTTATGAATAAGAGGGGTCAAGTAAAAAATGAATTTGAAATTAAAAGTATTTGTTTCTAAAGGGTAGTAAAATTTCAATAAATTTACTGTTTTGTAGTTTGTAAAAGATTTTTGAATTATCCTTTACTTGTGAAAAGTAAAAAAAAATACTTCCTCTCCCCGGCGGGGAATCGAACCCCGGTCTCCCGCGTGACAGGCGGGGATACTCACCACTATACTACCGAGGAAGCGTTAGCTAAGCTTTTCTTGTTTTGATATATAAAGCATTAGAAATTTTATTGTTGAACATGTCGCGTGGTTGCTTTGCTCAACCCGCTAAAATTCAATATGGCTGACTTCAAGTGAGTATCTTTTCTTTGCAAAGTTTTGAAGCGTTTAAACATCAACTACATACTAAGTACATTGCCCATTTTAGGACAGCTGAGCCCTTAGAATATTACAGAAAATTCCTGGTAAGACAATTATATATAGATTATCAATGTGTGCGTTCGTTACTGTCTGAAGCTCCCTCGTGTGTCTGTTAGTGTGAGCTATTTATCTTTCATATACTACTAACGTTATTTAATAGAAAGAAAATATCAGACCTGATGGTAGAGGACTCCTGGAGTTCAGGGAAACCACGCTAAATGCTGGTAAGGTAGCTGTAAACCCTTATAATGATGTACATGGGGTTAAATTACTTATGATAAACTTGTATAATATTAAGCTTAACTATTAGAATTTGTATGAAACAACTATCACAGGGGTGGATGATTGATCGTACCTTTTTTCAGTTCAGGAGTGGAGGTGAGACATTGGATAATTTCTGGGGAAATATTAATACCTTCCCCACCCCTAGAAAATTTTACCCTACCTCCACAGGTATAGAGGATATAGATTATAAATAGATTTTTCAATTATGTCTAAGGTTCCATATCTACTGCAGAAGGATCTGCTCTTGTTAAGCTTGGAAATACAACTGTTGTATGTGGAGTTAAAGCTGTAAGTTCTCACATATCTACATCCTTACTTGAGAGTCCTGCAGGGAGTACTAATCTCATTTCCAGCCCCCATTTCAACCATATACCATAGTCCCGGCCTATGTTTTGCTCAAATCTCAATCCCATTCCTTTTTTGATTGTTTTTGTTTGTGATATCCACTCCTAGTGCATAAAATCCCATTTTCCCAGCCAAAAAAATGCGAATCCCACCTCCCATTTTACCACTTCAGGACCCTGTTACTCACAAATTTGTTTGGATGTGCATTATGTTGTGTTTTTCACTCTCTTATGTTTTAGTATTTTAGTGATTTATATGAGAATATAACAGGAATCAATTTGCTCTTGTAGGAACTAGCAGAACCAAAACCTGAATTCCCCAGACATGGATATATAGGTAAAGGTTTTGAAACTTTTTTGACACACTCTGGCCAAGCAGTTTGTATTTGTAAACTATTCCCCGTTATACTGCTACTAAGTGTAGGATTATAGAGATTTGAAAAATATGCTAGTGATTTGTGAAATAGGAAACAATTGGAATGAAATGGGAATGAGATAGGAATTGCATTTAAATATTGGCTTACAAATTTCACTAAAAGAATTTTTTTTTTTTACTTTATATTTGAGTTTCTTCGGAGTTTCTTTTAGCATAAAAATAAAGAGCTTGTCGCAATAARACTGTGGGATTACAATGCAGTAGCAAATAAGTTGCAGATTATTATTTATTCCCTTTTTCTTTTCAGTTCCTAATGTGGACCTGCCACCTCTGTGTTCACCTCGTTTTCGTCCAGGACCACCCAGTGAACAAGCACAAGCTCTCAGTCAGTTTTTTGCTGATGTTATCAAAAAGTATGCTGCCAGTAATCATACTCCTTCATTTAAAACAACTATATAAATTAGAGTGTTATATTTTAAAAGGGAGAAAAACTTTAGAAATTGGTTAAAAAAATACTGAAATAATGGGAGAGACCTAGAAATAGAATGGGAGTCAATTCTCTTAATTTTCTTGGATACAGAATGACTGATTATTTTTATTTTGATACAATAGTTCCAAGTTGCTTGATCTAACAGAACTTTGCATCGCAGAAGGCAAGGTATGTCATGCACTACTTGTGTATTATTAGTATCTATTTTTATATGGGCAACACTTTGATAATAGCACTGTAGCTAACAAACCAATGGCTTTTATTCCATGATGAAATTGGTTATTAGAAGTGTTGATTTTTGCAAAAGGATGTAAGCAGAGAGAACCCAATAAAAAACCTTGAAGCAGAGGAGCGAATACCCTGAGTACAGCAGCAACATAATATCTGTAACAGTTTCAACTGTTTGTTTTTTTCCCCAGCTGGTTTGGGTGTTGTATGTTGACATGATGTGCCTAGACTATGATGGTAATATCACTGACACATGTATGATTGCCATGGTGGCTGCACTCAAAAATAGTAAGTGTTTTACTCTTTATATTATAGAGGACCCTCCTAAAATCACTTACATAGATGACAGAGGCCTTCTCGTAAAATATTTGTTGTTGTCGTTGTTTGTTGTTTGGGTGTCATTCCTTCCCATTTCAGATGGGTCACTTCCCTTCCTTGGGTGTCTTTAAACATCACCACTGTCATCATTATCCCAACTATCATCATTATCACCATCATCATCATCATCATTATAGTCATCACCATCATCATTATAACCATCATCAGAAGCTACACATTATGAGGACCATCATCATCATCACCACCGTCATCATCATCATCATTACCAGCATTATCATCTGGACCATCATCATTATTATCATAGTCATAATCATCACCAATATTAGCAGCAGCAACAGTAATATCGTCAGAACCACCATCACCAACCATTATCATGGTCATCATTATATTCATTATCACTTAAATAGTAAGTTAGAAATTAGTCCAAATATTACAATATTGCCTTGCTTCTTGTCTGGCCATCTGACAACAGTCAAACAAATAAGTACTTTTGAGAATGTCATGTGTAACCAAGGTAAATGGAGTATTTTAATAGGTTGATGAATATTTCGTTTTAGGGGAGTATAATCAGTTTTCACCTGAAGTAAAAGCATACTAAAGCTCTAAACTTGATTTTTGCTTTTAAATTCTACATTTTGAGAGATTTTTATTTTTGGAAAACCAGGAATTGTGTAGACTGGACTGGACTGGACGTCGGATTTTGGATCGAAAAAAACAAATTTTCGTTGAATTTTAAGGTTTTGAAAGGGTATGAAAAATCTTAACGTGTAACAAAAGCATGCCCAACCTCTAAACTTTGATTTGTGCTTTTAATTCTGTATTTAAAAAATWATTATTATTATTTTGGAAAATCCTGAAAATTGTATGATTGGATTGGACTGGGCTTAGATTAAGTTGATCTTGGATGCTAAATTTGCAGTTTTTGTTCTGTAATTTTCAGTTTTTTATATGCTGCACTTTTACACACACAAAAAAAAACAAGATTTAAATTCACTTCAATTTAGACAAGATATCCAATGTGTTTGACAAACCTCACTTGTCCATTTACAGCAAGACTACACAAAATAACTATCAATGAAGAAACACAAACCCCTGAACCATCAAAAACAAGAGATATTCACCTTAACTTAACCTGTACTCCAGTAGCTGTTACCTTTGGAATATTTGATGAGTGAGTAAAATTTCAAACTTTAAATTGTATTTTGAACCTGAACTGTCTCTGGGCTGATCAAAGTCAGAGCATAGCTAACTCACAGATCAAACCCTGAAGCAACCTCTGGGCTAATTGAAGTCAGAGCATGGCTAACTCACAAACTGAACCCTGAAACAACCTCTGGGCTAATCTAAGTCAGTGCATGGCTAACTCATAGATTGAATAATTGGAACTTAGCTTGTTAGGTTTCACACAGAGAAGAAAACTGGAGTATCCAGTTTCCAAAACCCAGAGAAAAACCTACAAATCGAGGAAGAGACCTAAGAAACCCTACTTTTATATAATGTTGAGTCCAGAAATTTCACCTGATATCTCAGAAGTGAGAAACAAGACCCTCCCTTTAACTCATGTTATCCCTCACTGGTTTGTCAGTCCATGTTTGGGGCTGGTAGCTGCCTGTTGGGCTTCCTGTGTTAAGGAGGAAACAGGAAGCCCACATTTTGTAAACTTATTTTTCTTTTGCACACAACACTTGCTGCATTGAATTATGTATTAAATTGTAGTGTTTCCAAAAAATGCTAGTACTGATATTTTCGTTTTCAACTAGTGCACAATTGTATATTGACCCAACCGATGAAGAAGACTCTCTCTCTACTGGTTCATTGACTGTTGTGATAACAATGGATGAAAAACTGGTATCTGTACATAAACCAGGTGAGAAGAATAGGAATAAATATACATGTTTATAAAAAAGGATGTTTTTGAAAACAAAAACAAAAAAATTAAAGAGTTAGAGTGGTGGGTTACCTGTGGAAAATAATCCACAGGGAGACCAGTCATCTAGAAAGAAAGGGTACTTTACTGTTTACATACTTTTGGTATTTTTTTAAAAATTATTTTTTTATCTTGTATTTTTTTAAAGTTTTCAACTAGGATGAGGGGGTCAAGAAGTTCTCCTCCATTTATGTTTCATTCTTTTCTCTCTCCCATCCCTCCAGTTCTCGTGCTTTCATTTTTCTCTCCCATTTCTTTAATAGTCAAGCTTTATTTTTGTCCATTTCTTCAATTTTCATCCTTTTATTTGTCTCTTCCATATTTCTTCAGTTCTCATGCTTACAATTTTTTCTCTTTTCCATTCCTTCATTTCTCATGCTTTCATTCTTTTTCAGGTGGTTCCTCAATAACAGAAGAAAAAGTCCAAGAAAGTTTTCAGCATGCTATTCTAAGATCAAGAGAGGTSGACAAGCTGATAACATCGGCATGTACAGAGGTAGACAGGTAGTATAAAATAGTCAGGATACTACATATGGCACAGGGAAATACTTTAATAATTAATATTTCCTCAATTAAATTCCTTTGTACACCTTTTCCTTATAAAAACAAATTACAGAATATACATTCCTTTTCTAAAATATTCTAACTAGCTCAATAAGTTATGTCGAGATGTTCCTATATTATTCTTAGTTTATCTACATTACCATATATTAATAATGCTAATTGTAGAATATCATCTTTTGATTAAAAACTAAAGTATTTTTTCCTGACAAATCTCTACTCACCTTCCCCTCCCATGGGAAAAAAATTCTTAATATATTTATTGAGGATTAGGTAAGTATATATTCCTTTTAAATAAGCTATCCACTCTATTCTCATATTCCCCTGGGCAGCACGGCAGTAGGAAAAAAAGTATATACATAGTATCTATTTCCTTCAAGGTTATCGTACTCTATAAGATGAAATAAAATTCTGTTCTAAAAATCACTTATTTTGTGACCGTCGTCGCTGTGCAGGAGACTTACTGGGTGTCTTGCCGACTGACTGTGTTCCTTGTACATTTGTGGATCCTTGCTTTACTTGTTGTATTAGTTGTGCCTGCGTAGCGACAGGCTGTGACTGAACCTGGATGGTTTGACCGGCTAACTGTGATTGTACAATGGTCTGTTGGGAACCCTTTTTTTGGGTTTGACCTGTGAAAAGCAAGAAAGTTATACACTTTGTTGACAAAGCATAGTTTGCATGGGAATGATTGAAGGCGATGATGCCTGCACTCATAATCATATGTAGGTAGAATCGTTTGTTCCTTATCTCTTGTACTTTAAAGGTGTTTTCCTGGGTTATCGATCCAGTTTTGGGTCCTCCCTCTGCAAAAATCAACACTTCTCATTTTCCCCATTAATTGTAAGTCTTTCCTCTTAAYGACAAACAACTGACTATTACATGAAGATATGTATAAAATGCCAAGGCTTTGATCTGACAGGTACTACTAACTTTTATTTACCTGCTTGTTGCAACTGAGTGGCTTGTTGTGAGAACTGAACAGGGAAGCGCACCTGAAACTGTTGCTGGGAAATCTGGGAGCCAGGGGGAAGCTGACTCCCTATTGGAACGAGTGGTTGGATGTTTTGGGTGGAGCGATTCACTATGGAGGGAAAAGGAATGCATTGAGAAATTATGATAAAATTATCTGTGGTTTTGAATTACTTTGTAGAGTTCATTAAACCATCATCATTAGCATCAAAAAAGACCATCATCATCATCATCACCATCATCA